CTTTTATTAATTTTGGATTAATTTTGTATAAATTATAAAAAAATGATTATAAATTATAAAGTAACAACATTTGTAATCATTAAATAAATATAATTGATGTAAGTTGATTTAGGTAATTGAGAAATTATAAATCTAAGTAATTTACATAAACTTATGAGTGTAAGTTGTTAATCTTGTTACTTTGAGTGTAGGTAAACTTATGAGTGTAGGAAAATCCAACAATCTTATGAGGTAGGTAAACTTATGAGTGTAGGTAAACCTAACTTTACATCAAAGTAACAACCTACATCAAAGTAACAATATTTCTAATTTACCTAAATTTCTAATCATTACATAAATTATGAGTGTAGGTTGTGAGTTTATATAAATTATAAAGTGTTGGCAAACTTGATTTATACATAAAGAAATTTGATTTATACATATTCGTGACCGCGCTTGTAAGTAAAATATGTAAAAATGTGTTTTCAAAACACATTTTGAACAAAAATTCAAAACCAGCACTCACTCTTCTTTGTCACGACACTACACTCTCTCTTGTATCTCTCTCTCTCTCGACACACTGCACACCCACACCACCTCACAACATCATGAAACATCATATAATTTGTTAATATATATAATTTATTTTATAAAAACAGAAAATTAATTTTTTTATTTATTTTTTCTTTCAAATATATTTATTTTTCCAATTATTTTTTATCTTTTTTCAATGAATTTTTTTTCAACGGTGAGGGAATAACTGTCATTAACACTAAACCTCAGGGGTGTTAGTGTAATTTACCTAAATAAAAAAATTACATTTTAAGAATTAAAGTAAAAAAATAATCATTTTATATAGTTGATTATTATTTGCTATTATCAATTATTATTATATATATTTAATATTGGTCTGAGTTTTACAAAATAAAATTTATATATATTAAAAATTATATATGTTTGATGTGAATGTGAGTGTTGTGGGTGTGTGTGTCAGAGAGAGGGATAGAGAGAGTGTTTGTGAGTGTCTGTGACAAACAAGAATGAGTGCTGGTTTTGAATTCTTTGTTGAATTTTTACATGTTGCTTAGAAGTGATTATTATCCACGGGTCAACAGTAAAACCGTGGTTTGCAACCACGTTTTCTGAAGCTATACTTAACAAAAGCATGGTTATGTATAAATCAAATTTCCTTAATCAGATTTACTTTAAAAAAATAATTACTTCAAAATTTATGTATAAATAAAATTTCCTTAAAAGCGTGATTTGTAACCTAGACAAATATATCAATAATTTTGAATATGAAGACATTACGAAGATTCTTCTTTTATTTTTCTGTTCATATAATTTTATACTATAGTTTGTATCAAGTATTGTATTTATTCAGTGCGATTGGACAAAATTGAACAAGTCATACAAAAATCTTAAATCATAGTGTAACTTTTTCTATGAAATTATTATTTTTTTCATTGAGTTCAAATAACTCGATTGATTTTGTATGACTTGTTCTTAATTTTTATTTCAAACATTGTTCACGTCATTTTTTAAAACTGGTGGCCCAATTAGTGAGATTTATGGACAATTAAAGACAAGTTACTTTTATTTGCTCAAGCTTCTGCCAATAGGGACCTTAATGACAAAGTTAGTTGGTAGGTTATTTCCTATGACATTATTTCCTAACTTAGGGAAATAACCTCATACGAAATAGCATAGGAAATAACTTAGGGAAATAACGTAAGAAATAACATAAATAAAAAATTAATGAGCTCTCATAATTTTAAGCAATATAAAAAACATAACAAAAAAATTATCGACTTGAATCGAGTCAAACTTGAGTTTCATTAATATTAATGAGCTCTCATTATGTGTTAAAAATTAAGTATGCTCCTTTCAGATCTCAAGTTGAACTCTCAGTATGTGTCATGTTTATAGGTATTAACTGAGATTTGTCGGATCTACGTGGAAGGGACGTTTGGTATGGATTGTAAGATTAGTCAATAAATACGTAAACATTCAGACATCCGACTATCATAAAAAGTTAAAACTTAATTGAATAAACATAATGCAGACGCATAGAGAATAAGTCAATTGGATAATTCAAGTGGGTAAAAATTATGGAAAATGACTCATTTTATAAATCAAATATTTTAATTTTTTTAAACATAATTCTTAAACAAATTTTTTTTTTTATTTTTTATATCAAATGTTTTCATAATAGCATTTTCCATGGCGACTTGAAAGGTCTCTTTCGGCAAAGAAGAACAAAAGTAATTTTTTTACTTCTAATTTTTTGTGGATCAAATTATTTGACCTCTAGTGTTTATATCAATTTTTTTGTGGATCACTTCTAAAAAGTCATTTATTTATATCAAATTTATAAAAGGGAATGTCATGAAATTTAAGGAGGAAAAACTCGAAAATGAAATTCAACCCTAAATGGGCCATGAAATTCAAGTAAACTATACTTTTTATATTTAACCACGATTAGATTTGAATTTAGTGCATAAATTTAGTCAAACCATTTTTTCTTATCGTAGGAGCATGTGGCATCAATGGCATATTTTAAAGTTTTCTTTCTTTTTTTTTTTTGTTTTTTGGGTCAACATTCTAAGTAGTTAGATTTTTAATTTGTTAATAAAATTTTAGTGTACTACTTAAAAGGTCACCCATAGAAAATATTAACAATCACAATCACTTTTAAAAAAATTTAATAAGAAAACGAAAGAAGGCCTACACCGACATAAAATTCAATTATCGGACTTTTCTATTTTGCCATATCCCTATCTCCAAAATATATATATACATATTTGTTCCTGGCCAAAATTATGAGAAAACTTCCATAGTAATTTCTTATCACAAATTATGTTCCTTACTTTTCAATTTCTTATTCTTACTTAAAAAATTGAAATTTAGAACAAAAATATTTTTGTTACTTTATAAATTTTAAGTTATTACCACTCCACATCACCTAATTAATAATAATTTTTACAGCCAAATTAGCGTTTCTCTTTCTTATGTAATTAATTAACAGCATTAAAATTATTGTAAATATTTAGTTACACTTTAGCTGCATAGGACTAAGGTAATTTATTGGAATGAAAATAAAAGGGAATGGCATGATTATTCCTTAAATATGTTTTGATTAAAAAGAAAAATTTGTAGAAAGTGAAAGTGAAAGTGAAAGTGAAAGAAAAAAAAAACCCCACATTCATGAACCCTAACCCTAATTTATTCACATTTTATTCACAAATATAAACCCTAACCCTAACCCCACATTCATGAACCCTAACCCTAATTTATTCACATTTTATTCACAAATATAAACCCTAACCCTAACCCCACATTCATGAACCCTAACCCTAATTTATTCACATTTTATTCACAAATATAAACCCTAACCCTAACCCCACATTCATGAACCCTAACCCTAATTTATTCACATTTTATTCACAAATATAAACCCTAACCCTAACCCCACATTCATGAACCCTAACCCTAATTTATTCACATTTTATTCACAAATATAAACCCTAACCCTAACCCCACATTCATGAACCCTAACCCTAATTTATTCACATTTTATTCACAAATATAAACCCTAACCCTAACCCCACATTCATGAACCCTAACCCTAATTTATTCACATTTTATTCACAAATATAAACCCTAACCCTAACCCCACATTCATGAACCCTAACCCTAATTTATTCACATTTTATTCACAAATATAAACCCTAACCCTAACCCCACATTCATGAACCCTAACCCTAATTTATTCACATTTTATTCACAAATATAAACCCTAACCCTAACCCCACATTCATGAACCCTAACCCTAATTTATTCACATTTTATTCACAAATATAAACCCTAACCCTAACCCCACATATATAAACCCTAACCCTAATTTATTATTTCTGATTTCACAACATTTTATTCACAAATATAAACCCTAACCCTAACCCCACATTCATGAACTCTAACCCTAATTTATTCACATTTTATTCGCAAATATAAACCCTAACCCTAGCCCCACATTCATGAACCCTAACCCCAATTTATTCACATTTTCACAAACACAAATATATTCACAAATATAAACCTTAACCCTAATTTATTCGCATTAAAGTAGATGATAGAAGCATACCAACGATAGAGAGACAGTACTGAAGCAGAGGGAGCTCGACAGAGAGAGAGCAAGGAGCACAAAGACAGAGAGAGATGAGTAAGAGCGAGCGAGAGAGAGAGTAGTAAGACCGAGAGAGAGACAGCAGGGAGCGAAGAAGAGAGCAGGGAGGGAGAGAGGAAATGTAACAAGCGTGAATGCAAAACACGGGGCTGAGAGATTATATATAAGTTTTAAAATCGTGGTTGTGAACCGCGATTCACTTAATGAAAAAAAATTTTGCCAAAAAACGTGGTTTAGAAAAGCAATTTCAGAACAATTTTTTTTTTATTTATAAAATCATGATTACAAACAGCGAGTTCAGAACAAAATTTTTTTTGGATAAAATCGTGGTTTATAACAGCGAATTTAGAACAAATTTTTTTTTGGATAAAATCGTGGTTTGGAACAGCGAGTTTAGAAGAAAAAAAAAAAATTAAAAGTGCGTTTTGTAACCGCGATTCCTTAATCAAAAGCGCTTTTTGTAACAACGATTTTAAGACTTTCTTAATTCCACACGGGACAGACGTATATATATTGAAATCGTGATTGTGAACCACGAGTTAACTTATTTTAAAAATTCTTTCAAAGCTAAGCTTAATTTAAAAATTGATTTACTATTTTGGCTTATTTAGAAAAATCCCCCCCTCCCCCAAGTTAACTTATTTTGAAAATTCTTTTAAAATTAGGCTTAAATTGGAAATTGATTTACTATTTTCGCTTATTTAGGGAATCCCCCCGCGCCATCCCCTCGTGTTAATTGTTGCCCTCGTACAAAAAGAACCGGAATGTTGGGGATTGGAGATTGGAAGTCGAGTTTTTGAATGCTTCACGATCATCCTCTGCTCTTCAGGTCTCTCTCTCTGTCTCTCTCTATATATATTGGCATTCATTGACAATATGTATATATTGTTATATGTTACCTCTAATTCTCTGTTTCATAGTTGTGTCCTAGAAATCTATACTTTTCCTTTCATGATTCAATAATTGGGTTTCAATAATTAGCCACAAGGACAGTTGATTCCTTGTGATTTCTAGCTTTAAAAATAGTGAAGGAGAAAGTAGGAATTGTGGCTTGATGTGTTAACTATGTAGTGTTGAGTTCTTGTATCTAAAGTGGTGTGTGTAGTGTGTTTTTGTGAATTATGTTTTGGGGTTTTTGAACAATTAGGTTGTACTTGAGTTGAGTTTCTGATGAAATTTTGTACATAAGCCAATGGAAGCTGCACAGCCTTTAAGTTTTAAAGGGGAAAAGAAGAACCTCATTTTGGGTTATTTTATTTTTATTGGTTCCAGAGTTAATTGAATGCACAGAAGATAATGGTATTACGGTTCAATTCTGGTTGATCAGTTGTTTTAACAATTTACCCTTTATCTGGTTTTTCTCCAGTTTGTTGACGATACATATTTTTAACCATAAGATGAAATAAATTATAATATAGATATTGAGAAAGTAATACCAAAATTTGTCCGAAGCATTCTCACATGAAATTGTTTTAATCTAAACTCTAAAGTAAGAATAGGCATTTTTTATCCAAATAAAACTCTTTTGAGCTTAATGCAATAAATTGCTTTGAAATATAACTGTCACAATAATGTGGGACCATAAAAATTTTTATTTTTTATATTACAGTTAATTATGATAGTAAGCGAGAAAACCATGGGCACAATGTTGGTAATCAATCCACTAATCAAGAAGCAATTACAATGGTACAAGAGAGAGGACCTAAAACGAATGCTTACGGTACTAGCTACAACCCAAAAACACCGGTTTGATCTCCACATCACAAGTGGCACTATTCACAATATGCCAAAGATGGATGGATGGTGGTAGAAAAACTTTATTGGTAAACAAACTCAACTCCAATACGACATGTGACACCCTTACCAGCTGGGCATATATGAAAGTTATGTTACAAGAACTCTTCAAAATAAATCAAATATCCATATCGGACACTCGACACTTGGACAAGGGCGTGGGATATATGTTTGATGCTTTTCATCGGACACATATTTATATTTAACACTATATGTTATATACAATACCATTTTATCTCATATAATAGATTAAAAAAACTATACATATATGATCATATTTTGTTGAGTCCACATATGCTCATTTTTTGTTGGGTCCGCATATCCTTAAATTTGAGATTGAAAATGCTAGAGACTCACAATTTAGATCCCTAAATTCATCGACAAGGAAGTGGGGCCCTATATTATTGAGTGTGACCCTATATCATTGAGCGTGACAAATCAAAAGTTGACACCTATCATTTCACATCATTGTGCGTCAAATTACGGGAGCTTTCTTAGGTGTCTCAAACCATGTTTTTAAAGGTGAATGCATAAGTCGAGGTATTTTATCTTTCATGAGGCGAGGCGTAAGCCTAAAGGCATCGAGACGTAAACATTTTGAATTTTAAATTTTAATACTTACTAGACAAATAAAATATTTTAAAATGGTGAAAAAATAAATATAAAGTTGTAAATACTTTTCTTCGTAAGGCGTCAAACATTTCACTGCAGAGAATGAAACTTGCCTTCATTGAAAGTGAAATTAACATTCTTAGCTTTAGTGGTTAAGCTTCTCACTCGAGCATTAACTTAGTATTTTTTTTCTTGATTGGTCATTTACTTACTTTTTTCTATAGAATATATAGTCGTAAAAGGGGTTCATTCTTAGTTTATGTTTAAACCATCTATCTACTAGACTAAGTTTAACAGGTGCCTAAGACAACCTTTTCACATGCGTACTTCTCATATGCTTATACGCAAAGGCGTACAAAGTGCACCTAAGGCGCATGGTCATATTGTGATGCGCAAGACTTTGGAGAGTATAGCCTAAAAATCAAAGCCTTAATGTGTTTTACCTTTGCCTCGAGGCGAGGTGAGCATCAAGGTGAGCCTCAGTAAAGCCTTTTAAAACTTTGGTCTCAAACACTTTCCATTGAGATTTGATGGATCCGACTTCGAGATATGCACCCACACCTTACACTCGTACATGTGTCAATGCAACATAGTATGAAAGCAAGGGCAACTTAAGATTCTAAAGCACGATAAATAACTATGGTATCTCCCAAAGAGAAGAGAAGAACACAGGAGATAGTTCTGTTCTTTTTATCTCACACACAAAATGAAATTGCACCCCTCTCACTCATGTCCTTCAACACATTACATATCTACATTGGAAACGCATGCCAAACTTTCCTAATTCCTTGCAAGTCTGTGTGTTCAAGTGATTAAAAAATTTGGAACCTAGTTCCCATTTAGGTTTGCAAACTTAAAAAAAAAATCCAAAATTTTGATTTATTTGTGCCAAACATATTTTCACGAAGGTGAAATGCATTGAAATACTAATAAATTGCAAGCAAAAGTCCATGTTTGGTTTTCAACTTTTGTAAGAGAATTTTGTAGTTTACTTTGCATTGTAAATGTGTTTTGGCACCAGCTATTGATGTTTGTTATTCTATATGCATTTAATGGTGTATTTTATTTACATTTGTATTTATTCCATATGCATTTATTCTGTATATTGATTTTTGTATTTTGGGTTCGATAGTGATATATTACATGGCTTGTGGTGTTGATTCCTCAAAAGATAAGATTTGTTTGCTTAGCTACCATCATTGTTTCATTGTCATCATTATGATCACCGAGGATCTAGTACGATTGGACTAAGGCAGGTAGGTATATGACTAGCCCCTCAACTTCCCACACAGTAACTCACTTGGTTTTGCCTCTTGGTTTTGGGTTGAGATAACACATTCTCTTTCTCTCTCTAGACCTATGACAATTTGGGACTTTGGTGTTTGGTTGGAGATGGGTTAAGGGTGTGGAGTATTGGCAGTGGGAGTGGCAAGGAGCAAAATTTCATTTCGTTTGCATCAAAATGGCTGAAACATTTTCATTTCCTAAGAAATTGACACGAAACATTGGTAGAGAATTTGGTGAAATATACCGAATTCTAGTGTTTTCATCCAAATATACCCAAACACCTAAATTTACTTAATCGTTATGAAACATTATGAAACAATGAGTTGTTTGAACACCTAGTAGGAATATCTAAGAAGAGCTATTTCCCTTTGCATCCTTTTGTTAAAAGTTGTTTTGAGACAGACAAAATCTTGAATTTATGAGAGAATTTGTGATAGTAAATGGAGAAGATGAGGGATATGGTGGTGAAGAAAACAGACATGATAGCAAAGCCCGAAGCCAATTAACCCTTTAACCTTTTTTGTTTATGAGTTTTAAATATTCATAGACTTTTATGGACCTTACTCTTGAGCTTGTTGAAAAAATAAAATAAATCTTATTTCCCCAAAACTATGAAGCATGGGCGGGTATGGATACTGGCAGGGGTATGATATGGGTAATATTGACCAAATAACAGATATCAGATCCTAATTCCGCCCTTGTTCAAGATATTAATGTAAAAAGCATTTTAGTGATGTATGCCTAAATTAACTTTTTGTAGTTTGCCTAGAACTGTTGACAAAATAACAGAACAAGATATCAGTGTTCCAAAATTGCAAGTAGTTTCGTGAAAAGATATATTATCCTATGTGTTCCCAAACCAACAAAACATGAAGAAAATAAGTACAAGAAGTATTCCATTATGATTAAGGTTGGGGAATGCAGTTCGTTATTGCTAATTACATTGGAGTTTAACCTTATAATCAGTTTGACTATAAATCTCAATCCCTTTCTTTAAAGATTAAAAATTGTCACCAAAAAGATAAATAATAAAAAAAAAAGAAAAAGAAAAAAGAAGAACAGAAAAAGTGGTGCAAGGCCGTACTTTATCTTTCTCAAAGTCAAGGTAAGATTCAGATAGGTAGCTACTTATTTACTTCCATATCTCATATATTGTCCCATGAGAAGGCCATCTGAATGGAAGGCCTCCTCTGCTTTCTTCTTTTTTTTTTGGGTCAAATAAAATGACTGAAAATTTTATTTTTCTTTGGTTTTAAAAAAGAAAAAAGAAAAAAAAGAAAGACCCACTCCAACTCATTATTTTGATTTAATTAAGGCATTGCATTTGATGTACAATAATGATTCTTGTGAACTTGATAGATATTGAATTGCAGTAAGCTCAAGCAACCTCCTTTAATACCTGTCATCTCTCCAACATTAGAGTTTTACCTATGATGGAATTCATCCCTCCTCCCCTCTATTCATGTGGAGAGTTTTGGGGCAGAGGTCATCCGCTGGTCTTGCTGTTAGTTGGGAGCCAGTTACTTTCTGCATCTACTTCTTTTCTTGGTATATTTTTTGGAATTGTTTAGGAAACCTGAAAGTTTTGCCTACTGTTTCAATATGGTGTTCTGGTGGTTCATGCTAGTGAAACCATTCTGCTAATTTTGATGTTGTTGCTGCTGACCTATGGCTCTTATCTGTGTATGCTGTACATTGTTCCTCAGACTAAACCAATTTTCATAATCATTAGACCTTTTTTGTTTTGGGGTCATTCGAGAAGATACAGGAATTATCATCAAATCAAGGATACAAGACACCCTTGGTCAAGCCCAGTTGAATCAAATATCAGGAAGGATTGCTCAGGTGCTGAAAGGTCTACAAAGATAAAACAGTATGAGAACCTTCACTTAGCAACATCAGTACCATAAGTTCATAACATTAAAGTTGAATACAAACTAAAATAAAATGATGCTGTTTGGTAGTGCAACTTAGAAGTTCTGCAATAGAGACTCAAAAACCTTGCTAAAACACACTTGAAAGTCCAACGTAGACTCAGTGCTCTGTTAATTATTATGTGAAACATGATTTGTTTTTCAACAAATCCAGGGTCTTATATATGAAGTCTTCTCTTTGCTTAATAGTTAATACCATTTATACAAATTTGAGAAGAGAACACATTCATTAATGCATTTTGGCTTGAATAAATTGTCTCATTATAGTGCATTATGACAATACAGAGACATCTATGCATTGTGGTGTCCATGTTCTTGCATTCATGAATCTTAGTTTGTGTTTAATGAGACACATATCATCTACAATTAGAGCAAGTAACACAAAATCCATGCTTTTCGTATAACTTGCCCCATTGTCATTTAGTTTTTGTTTTTTCTTTCCCCTCAAGAACATGCTGCTAAAGTTTGTGTATTTTTATGTGAGGAAACCTATTTTGAGAAGTACATGAAATAAGCCTCAATTATTTTTGTTCGCGTAATTGCACTAAACTGTACTCAACTTGCACCAAAATTGTGAATCTATTCACTGTTTGGAGACAGTTTTTGAAAAATAAATAGAAAAAGCAGAAACCTCTTCTGTAAGAGAAGTGAAAGGAATTATGGCTAGAGTCACCAAGAATTCTTCAATGGTTTTTCCAACAAAGCTGAAAGGTACATCTCCCGGAGCTCCGGCCCTCGATCAAGCTTCCGTCCCACAACCCACTTCACTTTCTTGAATCCAATGCTATTAATCAGCGGTGCATAAACCTCCTCCAACTGCTCACCCACACAAAAGAAGTGGTCAAGCCAGAACAACCCACCAGGCCTAAGCACCCTGTAGATATCAAAAAATAAGAAGTGTAGCAGCGTTGTTGGAATCCAGTTACTCAACACATGCATTGAGTGCACAATGTCTAGTGTGTTGTCGAAGAAGGGAAGTCTCTGAGAAATGCTTATATACAAAGGTATGACTCCTCTTGATGCTATAAAGTTGTTGAAAGGACCATTCAAGTTCATTGAGGTAGTTATAATAGTTATGTTCCTTTCCCTCATTCGTACAGCAAATGTTGCCACACCGCCTCCAATGTCAAGCCCTATTCGGATTGTGCCTGGCTTCTTTACTGCTAATACTTCGTCAATGGAAAAGTCAACTCCACCACCAATTTTTGGTCCAGCCCAGCGTGTTTTCTCTACACCTTCAAGGTCAAAGCAGTCTTTACAATCGTCGAAGCCCTTCTGGGTCCTCATACGGTTGATGAGACATTGATAGTTCTTGCAAGTGTATGCTGTCCAGACCACCGATGAATCAGATGGTGTGGACCAGAAGCTAGCAGGAAGAGGGTAGGGTTCCACGTACTCCTGCTGAGAAGCTGAACGGCAACGGCGGCGAGGCAGTGGTTCACAGCCTTTAAGAAGGAGCTTTTGGGCTAGGAGTTCATCATCAGGGCAGGAACCATTGACCTTGTATGACATGTAACGGCGAAGTTCATTGGGGAAGAGGGTGCATGGCTGCCCAACTGGGGGGATAATTTTTTCAGAATCAAAGTTAGTGTTGAATCCAAATGGAAGCTGTTGAGGAGATGTAAAGGCTATGAATTCGGGTGGGAGGTCTGAAGTAATTTGAGAATTGTCGGTTATTACAACAGTATCATCTTTAAGCACCGACTTGGCAACGATGGCAGCGGTGATGGTAGTGGCAGCAGTGGGCCAATGGTTAAGAGAACAAGAAGAATAGAAAGTGGAGGAAATGAACAAGGTGAGGAGATTTGTAGACAAAAGGAGAAAAAGGAAGAACAGATGGGTGGAGAGAGGCTTAGGCTTATGAGGTGAATCCATAGGTTGTTTTTCGTACTGATAACTTAAGAGTTGAAGCTGAAAATGGTTTGTTTGATAGGAGGTGAGTGGAGGGTTTCCTTGTATATGACTAATACAAATATATCAAATGATATATATTGAAAGTCCCTTTGAATATGATTAATGGGTTCCCATTTGTAATCAAGTAACAGTTGTTTTGGAAGTAAATGATGATCAAAGTATTCATGGATGGTTTTTGTCCAGAAGCATTTTATTTTGTAGTAGATATTTAAGTATTCTTAGATCATGACCACCCACCCATATTAAACTATTGTAGCAGGTACCGGAGAACTCGTAGAAGGTCAACACTGGGTGATGCTCAATGCTGTCCATCTCCATAAATTATTATGTTTCCCAGAAAAACCAAATCATATTATTGTTTTCCACAACTAATGCAAGTAAACACCTATCTGATTAATTGATTCTTTTTTTGTTAATTTTATAGCACAGATCCTTTCTCTCTCTCTAGATGCACATTTAAAAAAGGAAAAAGATTGAGATTTCTAAAAAGTTTCTATTAGTCTACGCAAAATGGCACGGCATGTTACTCATCAATTTTTGATTTATTACAAATTCAATAGTATGAAGTTCAACTCCCTTATCATATTTGAATTGTGGATTTTAAATTATGAGTCTTTAACCTTCTTTTTTGACAAATGTTGTATCTATAAGCGGGTGAGTTTGTGGTGTACATGGGTGTGCATGATGCACGTCTCTCTTTATTACGACGCAATGTGATTTAAATTATGAGAACAAGTACATTGAATCGTAATTTTAATTTACATAAAAACGTTCAATTTCTAAGTTATAATTCAGTGAAATATTATTAGAGTTTGGACACATAATATGATTGAATCATAACTTTAGAGAGAGGGGGAGAGAGAGAGAGAGAGAGAGAGAGGGGTTTTGCCATGATATGCAGATGATCCGGATTAATGGTGGATCTAAGAAAAGAGGAATAAATTCAAATCCAATTATAGACTCCAAACTCTTAAATTCAGTGGGGTTTGTGTTATTATGGCGATAAGCATCATCACTACACGCATAACGGAATGATCCACATGCACATCTGTCCTCTAATCGATGCATTTATTTTTTAAAAAATTTAACATTAGAAGTCTTTAAATTTCACATTTTCTGCAAAACCAATCTGTTAAATCAATAATATCATGTGTAATTTATCACAATTCTGAAATTTTTAAATAACTTTTGATATATAATTATCATTATTATAACATTCTTATTGTTAAAATGCATTTGGCAAAAGAACAAATATATTTTTTTGAATTATTATTTGTAAATTTTTTATCAATTAGTAGGAGAGTAATACAATCTACAAACAAATATTAATAAAATTACTTCAAACTAGAAAATCAACCATTTAAAAAGTCTAATAATATATATCAACAATGATTCATCCCACTAAAAACACTACCACTAATAGCACTAATGCATTAAAAAAGTAAAAAAAAAAAAAATACAACTCCAAGACCAAAACATCACATCATTAATGACAGGACCCACTGTCACCTAATTAGTGGGAGCACTAATTAGTGCTCCCAAGCATTTTTCAATATATATATACTGCAAGCCTAATACTAGCAACTACTACATAATACAATAATAACCCTCATAATGAGGAATAAACTAAGGCCTAGTTTGGCATAATCTTAAAAAGTCAAAAAGTTAAAAAGTCACTATCATATTTAAATCACATTATCTTATTTAAATCACATCATCTTTCTATTACATCATTTCAAACCCAACACATGTTTCACTTTTTTTTTATTTTTAAAAAGTCAAAAAGTACATTTATTTAGATCATCCCAAATAACCCCTTAAAATATCCCATAATAACCACACAAAAAAAATATTAATTCTAGGAGTACAAAATGAATTACAGATTGCTCAATTGAAAATCTTAATTTTCTATAAGAATACTCAATAATATAGAAAGTCAAAGAAGAAAGGAGGAATTACCCACCAGTGAGTCAGAAAAATTATTTACAAAAAAACTATAAATATTAATAATTATAATTATAATTTTTTTCATTAATGTGTAATAATTTTTGAAAATCCCCACTGATTGTAATTTCTCCAAAAAAGAAATCTCATAGGGCCAAAGCCCATGTGACCTATACGAGGCTCCCTTCCTTGTGTCGGCATGTGACTTGGCCCACGGAAAACAAAGACATTAGCCCATTTAAATTTATATTAAAGTCCACGTCATGTAGCCATCAGCCTTGTCCCATTACAAATAATAGTAGGGTAAATTTTCATGGCAGAGATATTTGTAAAAATTAATTACGAATATGTGAAAAAAATTAGGAATAGTTACATTTTACCTCCCTATGGTTTAACGCATTTTCACATTATTTCCCTGACATTTATAAATGTACTCATAAACCTCTTGTGATTTTGAGTAATGTGTAAAAGTGACGTTTTCCGCTAGACTTAACAGTGCGTGGGCCAGATGTACCAAAAAAGCGTGTTTGCACTAGAAGAGTAAGTGATTGGCGCCAAAATTGAGACTTGAATTGACTAATTTACCCTTCCAATCTTTTTCTCTCTCTCCCCTACCTAAGTTTCTGATTCTCCTCTCTCTTTCTCTCTCTCTCTCTCTCACACACACACACACACACATACATAAACACACACAGCTACTTTAAACCACTTTCTCTCATTTCCAACTCACATCCAGATCTCTTTAGACTCTTTATTCCCATCTTTTGTCCACAACAGATCCACCCGAGTCCGCCACCGGGGTTGGCCTCGGCTATGACATTGCTATTACTGTCACTGTCAGCCTCCTTGTTTTCATTTCCACCATCATGTTTGCTTTCCTACGCCTGCATTAGAGTCAAATCTGGCGCCTTCAGAAGTGGCCGTGGTCGTCACCATCACTATGGAGACGACAGAGAAGAGCCTTACCACACCACCACCACCACCACCTATGATAGAGTCCTACTGCCCGAAGACAGTGCTGAGAGAGAGCAAGAAACTGCCTAGGCCCGATGAAGGCCCGTGTTGTTGTATTTGCCTGTTGGAATACAAGTCCAAGGATACAATACGATGCTATGAAGCACGAGTACTCCAAAAATAGTGTTGTACATGCACTGGGTACTTACCGGGTGCGGGTATGCGTACCGGTACGGCTGCACGCGTACCGGGTACGGAAAAAAGTAGTCGGGTACGTCTGCCTTAGTCGGGTATGGCATGGGTATGGCTCGGGTACGACATGGGTACGCCTTTGGTGCGTTTTGGGTACGTCGGAGGCAGAAATCAAATTTTCTGGAGAATTGAGGGGAACCGGAGCAATATTAAGAAAAATTTAAAAAAGAAAAAGAAAAAATGTATATATGAATGAAGTTTGTTTTGCCCTAATCTCATCACTTTTGCCCTAATCTCATCAGTTGAGCAACACAGCACTAAGAGGTGACATCGAAGCAAAGAGGCGACGGCGACCCAGCCATTCCCTTCTGGTGACGGCGACGCAAGGAGTTCTGGTGAGTCTTCTTCCTCTTCCTCTTCTTCTTCTTCTTCTTCTTCGCCTTCTTCTTCGCTGTTTCATCACCCTCGTCTTCTCTCATCTTCTTCGTTTCTTCTTCTTCATCTCATTTTTTTTTGGCAGAGATCAGCAAGCATCTATTTTCGTCCCCTGCATATCAGCCATACCTAGCAACCAAGCAACTAGTCAGAATCTTTTCATCTTTATTTTTTTTGTTTTTTTTCTTGTTTCTTCTTTCTTCTTTAGAGAGGTATAATTTGATGTTAATGTAGAACCCAAAAAAAATTAGAAGTTTAAAACAAAGGAAAATGAGTAGAACCAAAAATCTGAGAGGTATAATTTGATGTTGATGTTTAAAAAAATTAGATTTAAATTAGAAGTTTAAATCTGATGTTGATGTAGAACCAAAAATTAGAAGTTTAAAAAAAAAATTAGAGAGGTATAATCATATTTAGAACAAAAAAAAATTAGATCAAAAAAATTAATAAATTAGAAAAAAAAAAAAATTAGATCAAAAAAATTAATAAATTAGAACACAAAAATTAATAATCAATCATACTTACATAATGCTAATAATCAAAATTATCCCTCAACAGAAGAATGTTAATCAAAAAAATTAATTAGAAGTTTAAAACAAAGTTATTCCTCAACAGAATGTTAATAATCACAGATATTATTTTTAATAATAAAAAATTAGAGAGGTATAATAAAAAATTTGTAGGTTGGATCTTTTAACCATAATTATAAAAAATAAAAAAATATCGGCGTACCGCAGCCGTACCCGTATCCTACTTTTTTGGGGTTTTGCCGTATCGACGTACCCGCACTCGTACTCGTACCCGCACCCGTGCTTCTTAGATATGATGGGTTCCAGAGTGAAACCACTGCTTCTCTCTCTGTTGTTGTATTTAGTTCTCTCTCTCTCTCTCTTTATCAAACACCCACCACCGCCACCCACCGACCTCCATAACCACTACACCAACGCCTCATTCCAGCACTGTCATTTCCCCTAACATAGTCGTTGACCACCACTATTGCCATCGTCGGATCACCACTAACCGACCGCTACCATTGTCTTTCTTCTCTCTCATAATGTCTCTCTCTCTCTCTCTGTTTCTCTCTCTTTTCACCATTACCATTGCTCAGTCGCTAGTCGACTGTCCACCACTAACCACTACAAGAATTAACACTTTCGGAAACAAAAAAATTGGTCGCTAAAACCCCATTTTTAGTCGGAAAAAGTTATCCGCGACCAATTTTTTTGGCCGCTATTTTGGTCGCCAATTGAGGGTCGGCAAAAGTAATTCGCGACCAAAATTTTGGTTGGTCGGGAAAAGTTGGATTTGTCGACTAAAGTTTTGGTCGCTAAATATATCATTACTGCGACTAATCCATTTTTGTCGCTAAAACATTTTGGTCGCGAAAATTCACCTTTTGCCGACCAAATATCTTAGTCGCCAATTGTCACATTCCACGACCAACAAATTTGGTCGCCAATTATCACATTCAACGACCAAAAATTTTGGTCGCCAATTATGACATTTCATGACCAAAAATTTTGGTCGCCAATTGTGACATTCTGCGACCTCTTAGTTTGGTCTCCAATTGTCACATTCCACGACCAAAATAATTAGTCGCCAATTGTCACATTTCACGACCATACATGTTTGTCGCCAAAAGAA